CCAGCCAACAGCAGACAGAGCCTTCCACACAAGAAAAACCTGGCAGCACCAAGCTGGTTGCTAGACCCACCAGCTCATCATCACTTTGTCACCAAGTCCTTTGGAGAGATGGAGAGTTTTCCTGCAGTGACAGCTCATGGGAGCAAAGAGGGGCCTGCAGCCTCCCTCATCCCCAGTCACTGTCCTCGAGGACCCTCCCTCATCTGCCTCCTCCAGGCTGGAGATTCTTCTTTTCTACCCTGCAGCCTACATAGCTACAGCAAACAAACACAGCCCAGCTGCTCCCTGGCTCTTTTAACTCTTTCTCTCGCAGGTTTCTTTTCATCCCCCTCATTTTCTTCCCCATGGCAAGAGGTTCAGTCTTTGCCCTTTTCCTAAGCAGGCATGATGAGAGGGCTGCCCCTCTTCTCAGTGGGTAGGCTTTTCCTAAGAGCTCCTGGAAGTCCAGGAAAATGTGGGTTGTGTGACCAGAATGTCCTGGAAGAAAAGGCTGCCGTTCCCTAGCAGGCCTGGGAAGTGCCAGCTGTCTCCACCGCCCTGGAAAGTGAAACTCCTCACACAGCCCAGAAGTTTCTGCTTTTCCTGTCTGAATCATTCAGAAAGTGAAGCGTGGCTACTCCTGCCCTGCTACGGTTCTTCCACCATGGCCCCCCTTTGCTGTGCTCTTCCACATGTCCCTGCACAAAGAGGTATGAAAAGTACTAGGGTTTATCAGTCATCCTTTCAAACCTGAGCAGCCCCTCTGCTGTAGCACACTTTCCACCTCTCTCCTTGCCTTCTCAGCAACCTGCATCCTTTGATCTGTTGGGTCCTTGCTCCTGCTTTCTGGAGTCAGCACTGCAGGGTGGCAGGCATGTTGGGATCTGCAGCATCAGGGTGTAGCCTCCAACACACACCCCATTAATCTGGTCTTACCTGCTGTCGACTCAGCAGTGAGGAAATGCCAGGGGTTGTGCTGCTCTTCACCACGAGCTGAGCCCCCAAGAGACAGGGAGGGGCAGAGGTGTGAGCCCACCTCGGCACAGGGAGATGGAGTTCATGGGCTGATGCATCGGGACCCGGTGAGGTGAGTGAACCTGGCTGGGTGACGGGTGTTCTGCGGCTCACGGGCTCATGGGCCGAGTGCCACCTTGTCCTCCTCTTCTGGCACACACGGTAAAGCCAGGCTCAGGCAGGCATCTGCACGTGTGTGAGGGGTGAGGGACGCAGGAGAAGGGAAAGTTCCTATAGAGGCTGCCAGAGACTCCTTTTGCAAAGGGAGAAGGACGCCTCCCCCTCTCCCTGGTATATCTGCATGCTTTTATCAGCACCAGAGCCTCAACGGGAACTGAAGACACAAACAGCTGTGAGAACAAAGATCCCAGCAACTAGGAAATGAGAAAGGGTGGGTCTGGTTAAAAAAGAGAAGCACTAAAAAGGACCATGGCGAGATCAGTGTCTCGGGTGCTATAGTACCCTCCAAAGATTTATGAGCAGCAGGAACATATATCCCTTGGCGTATCATTCCGTGAATGAGGAGGCAGTGTTGGCAGAACAAGGGAGGCAGGGAGTGAGAAAGTCAAACAGCAGCAGCAGCAGCCAGCAGGCGGAGGAGTTGGGCAAAGGCTGCAGAGAAAGAGGGATCCCACAGGCACAGCACCTTCTTCTCAAGGCAGCTGCTCCTGAGGAAGGACTACTGTTAGGGTTAGGAGTGTTCCTATAACCTGTGTCTTCTCCAGGTGTGCTGAGACTGACAATGTAGAAATAGGACTTGAAGCAACAGAGTGCCAGATGGGCTCTGCAGAAGGGCAGATCCCTTCCCAATTACACTCAGTGGTGCTACATCACAGATGTCCTGCTAAATCAACCTTTGTACTTTCTTAGCACTGTGCCTCCAGTAGCTTTAAATGACAGGGACTGATATTTATGACAAATATACCTTTGCCTGCCATGGGCACCGACACCTCCTCAGAGCTCGCTTCTATTTGGGTCCCTGCCACAAGCCAGCAGTGCACAGCTGGAAGGAGCTCAATCCCAAAGCGCCCAAGTCCATGGGACTGACAGAACCCTGAGCTTTTGCACTGCCTAGTAGTTAAATCAACTTTGCTCTCACTTCCCATATTTCACTTTTACCTCCTGTTTAGCAGTATTTTGGGGAGGCGGATGTTTCAATTTTCCCCTGTCAGTCCTGAGGGTGGCTGGGTTAGCATGGGAGCAAAGACAAGCAAGTGGTCGGCACTATGACGTTGGGCAGGTCTCCTCCGTTGCAAGGACATCTGGGTGTTGCTTCTTTCATGATTACATTTGTTTTCATAGGATGGGGGTTAGCTTATCAGCTTTGAGTAGCAAAGTTCATTCTCTGTGGCCAGCCAGAAGTGCATCAGGAAGTGAGAAGAGAGGGGAGACGAGCTGCAGCATGACAGATGTAGAACTAGTCATGGTGAGGTAGAGGATGGCTGTGATTTGGATGAACAAGTAGCCAAAGAGTCTGCTTGGTCCTGTTTTGATTCCAGCTGCTTGCAGTTCTGGTGCCTGGATCAACAGCTCTGCAGTGACAGCAGTTGCCATCCAGCGAGCCTGCGTGCACCCTTCTCTTCACCAGCAGAGAGGTAAGTGAGATGGAAACATCTAAAGAGCTGGATAGTCTGGGGGCAATGGGCACTGGACCCCATGAAAAGCTGCACATGTGCTGCCAGGCCTGACCCTGGGGACCTGGGGAACCCTCTACACCTCTCAGTTGCCTAATGAACCTAGAAGTGCAAGGCAAGTCACACTATTTATTCAGAGCATCCTGTCTTTAGGATCCTGAGATACCAAAAGCATGGGCAGCCTGCAGAGCTTACTTATCAAGGTGCCCACTTCGGAAGTCCTCTTCCATGTGGCCCTCAAGAGATGAAGGGGGGTGACATCTCTAGGGAATAGACAGTAGCAGTGTGTCCAGACCTCATGAGTTAAATACAGAGGTCTCAGCTTTGATGTCATCTATCTCTCATTAAAAACCAGCCATCCTAAGTCTTGAATGTCTTCACAGTTCTAACCATCACAATAAATCATCACAATAATCTAATTTCTTGGTTAGAAAAAAAGGTGAAAAGTGGGGCTTAAATATCACCTACAGCAGGTAAAAAGCATCCACATTTATGAAAAAATGTACCTTCAATTTCTGAAGCAAAGTTGGGTGTTTTCGAGGTTTGATGCACTCTTTGTTACTTCCTTTTGATTTCAGATTTACTAAGCAAGCTTGTGCAGTTTGTATTTTCAGCTCTGCACTCCAGTGCCACATTCTCTGTCTGCATCCCCAGGGCATCCCCAAGGAGGTCCAGGGTTTAAACGACAAGCCACTCCCAGAATCACTGACCTCGTGGCATGCTCAGCAAGCTTTTTCTAGCTGTCTTTTCCCACCTTGTTTCTCAGCCCCATGCATAACCCTCTGTCCCTCCACTCTGTGCTCCTTTTTGCAGTGCTAGGAGGCAGTGTCTATTGGTGAGTTAGTGTCAGGAGAAAAGAAGCCCAGAACCGGACAATAAGATGCCAGGCACACATCATCTCAGGGCACGCTGCCTGTTCTGGCCCTTGTATGCAAGTACAGTAGGGGCGGGTGGGTGTGTGCTCACCCAAAACTCAAGATCCCCATGAGTTTTGCATGCCTTGTGTGGTCTCCCTGCCAAGCACCTCTTCTGCTGCCTCTGGAGAGAGGTGCCCACCTTGGGCCTGATCTCTGTCTTGTCTCAGTCCAGCATCCCACACCAGCCAGGGCCCAGGGCAGCTCCCAAGCACCATGAGGAGGCACACAGGATTGAATCATAAAATAGTTAGGGTTGGAAAGGACCTTAAGATCATCTAGTTCCAACCCTCCTGCCATGGCTGTCAAACAAGTGGGGTGGCCACAGGAGGGGAGCTGTGGGAGGGGAGGACAGTGCATTTGTTTCAACTGCATTTTTGGGGTTGTCCAACCATCTTCCAGCATCACATTCTCCTCTTCCATTGCACAGCAGCAGCAGCTGACATTGCCCCCATCTCACACCTATACCACCACCTCTTCCTTCCTCACTGGTGTTTTTCTTTCCTTCTAGTTTCTGCAGCTTCTCTTCCCCTGCAGCAGTTGCTCAGAGGTGTGTGTCTGTGTCTGTGTGTACACATGTGCACATGCACATGTGCCATGTCTATGTCATTCCCTCTGTCCTCCCTCCCAGGGCAAGAATATTAGCAACAAATTCATTTTCTACATAAAACCAGAAAGAAATATCTGCCTAGATCAGATCTGTAAGTTTGAATTGCTCTTTTCTGTCCCTGCTGGGGAGAAGACCATGGTCTCGGCAGATGGCCTTCAGGGGCTTATATTGATCTTCACTGAGAGGTAAAAAGATGCTTCCTCCACCTTCTGGGCCACATAAGGTCAATTACCAAACAGAAAGTTCCCTCAGGATCTCAAGTCAGCATCTCATCATGAGGAGGAGGATTGTGGTACCATTGCCTCCTTACACAGCTGTTGACTTGAGACCTCTCAGCAGCTTTCATGTGGAGCAATGAATACTTGAGGTTTTTTTAGAGGCAGACACAAAAAACATGGCCTGTGGCTCTCAGTCATCAACCAACAAGGATAATCCAACCAGTTTCAGCTCCCTGATACCAACCTGCTTTGCTCTTAGCTTTCCTTTTCAGTGAAGGAATCACAGATTCACAGACTGGTTTGGGTTGGGAGGGACCTTAAAGCTCATCCAGTTCCAATCCCCTGCCATGGGCAGGGACACCTTCCACTAGAGCAGGTTGCTCCAAGCCCCTGTGTCCAGACTGACCTTGAGCAGTGCCAGGGATGGGGCAGCCACAGCTTCTCTGGGCACCCTGTGCCAGTGCCTCAGCACCCTCACAGGGAAGAGCTTCTGCCTCAGAGCTCATCTCAATCTCCCCTCCATCAGCTTAAAGCAATTACCTTTTAATGATAAAGGGGCAGTCAAAACAGTACCTGCAGAGCTCTGCAGAGAAACACTTTGTTCCTACAGCTTTGTCATTCCAGAGACCGCATATGTACACATCTCATTTCAGGTCTCTGAGATCTTGACTACAGTATCAGTTCTGTCAAATGTGAGACTCTCAGCTTAGTGTCAGTAACACCACCATCAAGGATTCTTACTTCTGTGTTTAAATCCACCCACCAAAAAAATAATTTCCTCAGAAAACCCCAATCTATTTTCTGCTCTCAATGATCTTTGCTGCCAGTTTAGAACTCTGCTGTTTGGTGTCTCAAAGGCTGACAGGCTCATATGTAAGGAAAGGCCACTCAGAAAATAGAAAAAAGACGATGATGGGCAAAACACTGTACAGATTTCTTGCACTGGTGTTCATGACAGGAAAGCCTGAGAGATTTCCACAGTCAAAATTCTCTCTTAACTGCTTTAAACAAAGGACTTTCTCTGATCAAACGGTGGTAGGGATGGCTGTGGAGCAGCATGATGAACTAAGCGGTGTCTGAAACCACATAGCTCCTACCCCAGAGGTCAGAAAGCAACTGAAGGGTGGAAGACCTGACTAACTATGGTGCAAAAACATTTGCCTAAAACTGCTTTTAAAGGCTCACTTGTAGACACAGTTCAAGAAAAGGCTCTTGAGGGATTTCAGACCAGGGAGCTTGATGTCTGTGCTGAACAAATTATAAGCCATAATAAAGGGAAAAATGTCGATTGCCATGCAGTCACATCTAATTACTGGGGAAGAGCCATCATAGCTTTTCTAAAGGGATGTTGTGTCCCACAGTCCTTCTTTGAAGGAGTCAGCAAGCACATGAACAGTGGCCCATGTGGATTTCCAAAAGGGTTCTCCACCAATGATGCTTAAGGAAACTGAAATAAAAGATGCCTATCTGGATAAAAAGCACCTACAAGATAGGACAGAGAATGAAGGTAGATGCTTTGTTTTCACAGTGGAGTTGTAAGACACCAGTGATTGGGCTTGGACTGTTTGACTTATTCATGACGGATGAATAATAATAAAATAACAAATATATTGGAGAAATAAGATTATTCAAGCTATAAAAGATGAGGCTTGCCTGTGAAGAACTGCAGAGATTAAGAGAAGTGTGAGTGACTGGCCTTAAAATAACATCATCTAGCAAGTGATGAGAAAAGACAATCTGAACTGACCATTACCCTTTGCAAGTGAGATCTACACCTACTCAACTCATCAATATTGTGTACACTTTGAGAACCCGACCATAGGGCTCACAAAGGCTGCAGCAGAAGCAGAAAGATGGTGAGAAGGGCAACAAGGATGTTCAAAAGAACAGAACAGCTCCCCTGTGAGGAACAGCTATGAAGACAAGAACCCTTTAGCCTCAAAAAAACCCCAATACAACCCAAAACAAAACAAAAAGAAGTTACTGAAGGGAATATGGCAGATATTTATAAAACCATCAGTGATAAGGTGAAGGTGAATAGGGACATTTTTACCACTGTCTCTTCCAGCACTAAAACTAGGAACTGAATGTAGCAGGTTGTGATTCAAATAATAGTACACAGAAGTGGTTCTTCACCTGAGATGCAATTAAGTTTTGGAACTCCTTGGCACTGAATGTCGTAGATGGTAAATTTTATACTGACTTTTCTTTTCACAGAAAATCGTGAAAGAAAAGTTTCCCCTAGAGTTCTTCATTGAATAGCTCCTCTTGAACAGCTTGTTTGTGGAGATAAGTCACCTTCACCTGGCACCTGGCTGGTCTGGGCACACGAGTTAGAGCAGGTTATGGTCTTTCACAGAGACTTAGTCTCACTCACTTTATCTCAGTCAAAATCCTTGAGATTTGTTGAGGCATTTAATCATTTCACTTGAAACCAACATTCTTGCACATTTGCCATGTCTTGCTGGATTATCTTATAGTTTAAACTCAAGCAAGTCTTCACACAAAGTTTTCATCCACCAAGAAGGATGAAATCCACCCAGATATAGCTTGACAAACCAATAGAAGTTCCTCTAAGAAACCTTGTCTTGGCGGTGGACCTGCCCAACAACACAAAAGGAAGGGCAATTTGCTAGCTGTCTGGTCTCTCATATTAGACTTCCATTTTCACCATTTAACATATTGTTGCCAGAATGAATCTTTTCCTACCTATGAGGTCAGCACACACTTATGTCTTTAACAGATCCTCTCTCTAAATCTGTACATTGCCCCACAATGCCATCCAGAAGGTCTGACATGCTTGTCATGGTTGCTGAGTAGATTTCTCTTCCAGTAATATCAACCTTATGTAAAGATTTCGTCTAGACAGAAAATTCTACTTTCCTTTTGAAGCAAATCACAATCTACGTGGGCTCTGTGAGGGAGCCCCTATCTAACCCCTGCAAACAGCTGTGGGGGAACTGTGTCATACTTACCAACTCCTACTCCACTGTGACAGCTTTGAGAGCAGATGTCTGGGTTTAGGATCATGGAATAATTAAGACAGTCTTTAGCCTGATTAAGACTAGTCTCTAGTCTCTAGGGGCAGCTATGAGATCAGATGAGGTTACTCTGGACTTTACAGAGTTTGGTCTTGAAAACTTCCAAGGGTGGAGGCTCCACAACGTCTCTAGGAAATCTGTTGCAATGCCTGAATGTCTTCTCAGTGAAAACAATTTGCCCTATATCCAGTTTGAATCACTGTTACTTCAATTCATGTCCATTGCCTCTTGTTCCCCTGCAATGCCTTACTGTGAGCAGCTAACTCTGTCCGCTTTCAGTAGCCACCCTGCAGGTATGGGGAGTATGGTGGGTTAACCTTGGCTGGACACTACGTGCCCACCAAGCTGCTCTGTCACTTCACTTCTCAAATGGACAGAGGAGAAAAATACAGCAAAAGACTCATGGGTTAAGTACAGGGAGATTGCTCAGCAATTACTGTCAGTCACAGGCAAAACTGACACAACTTGGGGAAATGAGTTTAATTTATTAGCAATCAAATCAGAGTAGGATAATAAGAAATAAAACCAAATCTTAAAACACCTCCACCCCCACTCCTCCCTTCTTCCTGGGCTCAACTTTACTCCTGATTTTCTCTACTTCCTCCCCCCAGCAGCACAGGGGCATGGGAAGGGGGGTTGTGGTCAGTTCATCACAGATTGTCTCTGTTGCTCCTTCCTCCTCAGGGGAAGACTCCTCACACTCTTCCCCTGCTCCAGCATGGGGTCCCTCCCACAGGAAACAGTTCTCCATGAACTTCTCCTGCATGAGACCTTCCCACGGGCTGCAGTTCTTCATGAACTGCTCCAGCGTGGGTCCCTTCCATGGGGTGCATCCTTCAGGAACAGACTGCTCCAGGCTGGGCCCCTTCCATGGGGTGAATTGTTCAGGAACAGACTGCTCCAGTGTGGATCCCCTTCAGGGTCACAAGTCCTCCAGCAAACCTGCTCCAGTGCAGGCTCCTCTCTTTACAGGGCCACAGGTCTGCCAGGAGCTGCTCCAGCACCAGCTTCCCACAGGTCACAACCTCCTTTAAGCATCCTTCTGCTCTGGCAAGGGGTCCTCCATGGGCTGCAGGGGGATATGTCCTCCACATGGACCTCCATGGGCTGCAGGGGCACAGCCTGTCTCACCACGGTCTGCACCATGGGCTGCAGGGAAATCTCTGCTCCAGCAGCTGGAGCAGCTCCTGCCCTCCTCCTTCACTGACCTGGGTGTCTGCAGAGTTGTTGCTCTCACACATTCTCACTCCTCTGCTCTGGCTGCAATTGCTGCCATGCAGCAACTTGTCCCCTTCTTAAATACGTTATCCCAGAGGAGATACCACCATCGCTGATGGGCTCAGCCTTGGCCAGCAGCAGGTCCTTCTTGGATCCAGCTGGCATTGGTTCTATCGGGCACAAGGGGAAGCTTCCAGCCGCTTCTCACAGAAGCCAAGCCTGTCACCAAAACCTTGCCAGGCAAACCCAATACAGGATATACATTACATCGCCTGGAGCCTTCCCTTCTCCAGCTCAATTCCCTCAGCATCTCCTCATGGGGCAAGTGCTCCAGCCTCCAAACCACTGAATCCCATGGCCCGCCCTTCTTTACTGTGTGCTCCCTTACCTGGTTGTGCTGTGTTTGTGGGACATGGACTGCAACATGCTTTACCATGTTGTAAGTAGGAAAAAGACCTAAGGACATGCAATCCAAATAAGTGTCACTAGTCCCATGCAAGCAAGGAACTATATGAATATGAGCAATGTAAGGAACTCCAACTAGCTGGGACTCAGTTTTGTGTGGGTGGAGTCAGGTCTAAGTCAAGTCTTTTTGTCTGTCATGGATGTACAAAGTCCTGTTTCTCTGATATACAACAACACTACACAGTTTTTATTTTCAATTCCTTCCAGTCAGCATATTCCCCTCAAAATACCTGCTCTCTTTTCTTTCTCTCTCTCTCTTTTTCTGGACCTGCCTTGACTACTTTCCCTGTGTGCTCTTGTGCTGTGCCTTTCTTGCATACACGTGCCCTTAGCAGTGATCAAAGCAAAGTGCATTTTCTGAGACTGAGCAATAAATGATTCTGTACAACAATTACCTTCTCTGTGCTCTGGCTTCTTCTGCCATGTAATTACTCTCTTTTCTATTGACTGTTTTTCTTAGTCTTTTGTTTTCTTTGTGAGCCCTTGCTGCAGAAGCCACCATGGTTTTAACATTTCAAGAGATTTCCTCCTCTGACTTAAATTCTTCATTCTTGGTCTTCCACTCTGACCAGGAGTTGTGCTGACAACTGGCAATGACCCTACATCGCATCAGCATCCCCATAAACACTGGAAAGAATTGCTGAACTAGAGGCAGAAGCTGACTCTAGGTTACTACATTACCATCCCTGCTAGATGACCACAGACCAGCAATTCGAAGCAGATTGGATGGAAGAGAGATGTGCCCATCTACCTCCCAGCTGCAGATAAGGGGAGTGATCAGCCCATGGCTTCTTAGAGGGGAATGACTTCTGTCGGAGCTTTTCTTTGTGCCTCCTTAGCCCCGCAGCAGGCTCAGCCATCTCAGCATCACCCTCCTCTGATCCGCGCTTGGCATGTCAGCTTCCAATACATCTCAGACATGCAAGGATTACACCTTCAACCACCACCTCCTCCTGCCTGGCTACATCTTGATATTCATTACAGGTTTGATGCTGAATGTGACAGCCCTGTGGATATTCATCCGCTACCTGCGCCTGAAGTCTGTAGTGATGATCTACATGTTCAACCTGGCCATGAGTGACCTCACCTTCACACTCCCTCTGCCACTGCGCCTCTACTACTATTCTAACCACCACTGGCCCTTTGGTAACACCCTGTGCCAGGTATCTGGCTCTGTCTTCCAGATCAACATGTATGGTAGCTGCCTCTTCCTCATGTGCATCAATCTGGATCGCTATGTTGCCATTGTCCACCCACTTCGCTGGCGGCACCTGCGGCGCCCCAAGGTGGCCAAGCTCCTTTGCCTGATTGTCTGGGTTGTGATCTTCACAGGCTCCATCCCCACAGCCATAGTCCACAAGCAAAACCACTGTGAGGTACAGAACAAGACCATTTACCTGTGTTTTGAAAGCTTTAGTGACAACATTTGGCAGAATAACCTCTTCCCCCTAGTTGTCCTGGCTGAAATCTTGGGGTTTCTCTTGCCTCTCAGCTCTGTGACATACTGCTCAATTCGGATCTTTCAAGAGCTCTACCAGAACAGCCAGACAAAGACCCTGAGACAGCAGAAGACGGTCCGTCTCCTGTTGGTCAATCTGGTCATCTTCATCATCTGCTTTGTGCCCTACAACACTACGCTGGCAGTCTATGGGATGATAAAGGCCCAGGTGATTAAGGTTGAGAAAGAAACACAGGCCTCTGTTCGCCAAGTGTTAATTACAACAATGCTGTTGGCCAGCATGAATTGCACACTGGACCCCTTGATCTACTACTTCAGTACTGAGGGTTTCCGTAACACCTTTAAGAAACTGCGGCGGGGACAAGCCTGGGACTCAGATACAGTAGTGCTTAAGAATCAGGTTGTGGAGAATAAGCCAACCCGAGACCATGCTGTCTCAAAAGTGAAACAGTTCCCAACTGAAAACTTTATCCATCCCAATGAATCTTTGCCATCACTTGCTACTGCAGTATTTTTGAATGGCCCTATTGAGGACTCGGAAATATAAGCACAGAAAAGTCATACCATTGCAGAGTCACCCTTTCAATAATCACAGCTCAGGTAACTTAGCAAACTGTTTGAGGGAACACAGCAGACTGTGTGTGGCGGGGGGTGAAGGTGATGATACAAACCTGAAGGATGAAAGGCTGTTTTGAATAAACAGAGATGTCTTGGTGACATGGTCTCACCTCACTCTTTTGGTACGGGAAACATAAGGGAACAAGGACTTGAAACAAACCTCATATGCTTCAATTTGAGTCTTAAGTCCAGCTTGGGGCACCTAAGTAAGTATCTTAATTTTCCAGAAGAGTTGAAACATTTAGCAACCCTTGTTGGGGTCAAGGAGGACAGTTGAGTGTTTAGTACTCCTGCAGAAAACAGGTTCCTAATTGTGTACTAAAAGTGACAACCCTTAGCAAAGCAACCTTTAGGAGGTATGTCAAATGCACTTGTGCAGCTGTACACACACATGCAGCACAATGGCTATACATTTTCCTAAAGCAAAACGGCTTGGGAAACACTAGCATACTTAAAAATACACCCGACATCCATAATAGTGGCCCCAGAAAAAAAGAGAGGATACCAATACTGTTGCCATTTCTGAAGCTCACTCTAATGTTAGTGCTTTGCACTTTCTTGTTGCTTGGCCACAGGGTAATTGATTTCAGGTCTGAGTGATTTTCCCTGTTAAAAAGAAATGATGTCATAGAATGAGGCTGCAGTGAAATGTATTTGCTTGCACTGTTTGTACATGCTTCTTCAGCCCGCACTCTATGCGAAAGCCCTATAAATCTTCCCCGAAGAGAGATCCAGCTGTACACAGGCAGTACCAGAAACCTGTTATTCA